TGTCAAGAAAACTCGTGCACATCAACTATTTAGGGCTTAAACTCTCCACATATTTCCGTGTAGTTTGTTGGATGTCTTGTTGTGGCATGGAGGGAACTGGATGAGGGGACTATACATCACATCAACAGAGAATAATACTTCCCATCCAAACAGTGAGCAGGCTCAGCAAACAGCTTTTAGACATCTGTTCAGTTGCTCTTTATGCCATCTTCATGTATGGCAAGTGTTCATCCCAGTCAGTTAGGCTGAGCAGATAAACTTGGCAACCATCTGCTTGGTAGTCTTTATTACCCATTTTGCTAAACCATCAGACTGGGGATGATAAGGTGAAGTGTGCATCTTCAATACGTAATACCTTACACAACTCAGAGAACAGTTGACTGTTGAAGTTTTATATTTTCAAAGGTCTTGTGCCTTTTTAGTGATATAAGCTCCACATGAATGATTGTGCAATACTTCTATTCAGGAATCATCAGGCATTAGTTTACAACTAGCATAAATAGGCAGGTACACATTCTACTTCATCCTGTACTGGCAAAATACTACTCCAATTCCAAGATTATTGGCACCAATATCTAGTACAAATGGACTATCTTCTCTTGGTTAAACTAACATTGAGGTCTTTACTAAAGTACATTTTAGTGACTGAAATGCATGATCACTATCTTCAGTTCTCCTAAGGTGGATTTTAGCTTTATTCAGTGCAAAAAGTTGTGCACTAGCTTGGTGAGACTGGCCATGAATCTCTGATGATATCACACAGAGCTACTGTAATCTTTGCAAGGTTCATCGAGACATTGTATATTCCCAAAATGTGACCAAGGAATTCTGCCTGTATATTCACGATTGAACATTTTCTTGACTTCAGTTTCAAGCCTGCCTTTTTTATCTACTTGAAAAACCATGTCCAGGTTTTCAGCAGTAGACTAAAAGTGTGACCAAACATCAAAATATTAGATAAAAGACAGATTAGGGATTTCTCTCATTTCATACCTCTCAGTATAAGTTTAATTAGCTGCTAAAAAGTAGCAGACACATTATTTAAGTCGAATGGTATCACATGATGTGGAATTCAAGTCTTGAACTTTCCAGTATATGGAAGCCAGGTTTAATGTGCTGACTCAACAGATGCAATCCAGTACATCAACACATTAGGAGACAGCTATACATTTGTTCTCATATGGGATGCAAACAAACCAAACATAGCTGTACAGTTAATGACAGGTACTTGTAGTTCTCTCACTATGCAATGATTATGTGATACTCCAAGTTTCCCTGATTTCTCATTGAGAAAAGTGTAGTAATTTGCAAATAGCAGGTGGCTCGAAACAAAAGGTATTATGGAACAAATCAAAGTTCCTGACAATGACTATGGATTGGGGTTTAGCTACTCTGATTAGCAACAGTAAAGATATCGCATTGAGATCTCCACATTTGATTTCGGGATCATCTTCTGAAATGTCACCTTGTTGACTCTTAGTTGCCATTACGTTCTGTGAATTAAGGATTATGTTCAGGGTAGAACCTGATCAGAAGCTCCAAGTTTAATTTTTCCATCCTGATATTATGGCTAAATCAAGATTGTAAATATGGCTCTTTACAGTAACATTATAACCCTAACAACCAAGACAGGACTTCTTCTAAGCCATGATACTTTGGAAAATCCAAAGAGCACAAGAAAGCGCACTTGTTGAGAAAAATAAAAACCTCTACAAAAAAGTATGATGCCATGTCTCCAAAATTTCACTTTACTACTGTGGTATAGAAATTTACCATGGGTTTCTACCTTATTGTAATATTAAAATTTTTATTCTAAATCCATTATTTGTTCTGAATATGTAGAGGTTTCACATAACACATGATAAAAAAACCAAGATGATCTTCAACTTACCTTTGTTTCTTTGTTATTCTCAATGTCATGTATATCTTGTTTCCGCCCATGAAGAACATTGCTTAATGCGATCTTTTGTAAGGATTAAGTTAGTAATGAACTTCAAAGGTTGGTCAGGTAATACCTAGAGATTAATGTCTCAAGTATGTGTTCTGAGAATGACTTTTCTTACAGTAGTGTCATTTTACCAGTATAAATACCATGTTTTTTCAAACCTAAATGAAGAGAGCAAAGCAAAGTGAGGAAAACAGGCCAAGTTTAGTCTACATTATGTAAGGTAAGGTCGTGCAATCCAACTGAATCCTTAGTCCAGCAAACGCACATTGTTTTTATTTTGAGTGTTTTATTAAATATTGCTTATTTTGTTTATAACTTTTTGTTCAGTCTCTTTATTGTTTAACATAACCTTAGTTAGTAAGCATTTTAGTTACACCGTAATTCCAAATTTTGATCATATCTCCTGTATTGTGGACCTATCTTATGAAGATCACATCTATATATCACACTACCTTAATCTGTGGTATTCTTAGCCGTTTCTAGGATACAGTAATAATATTATATAAGTAAAGTAACCATCATAAGTTGGACATAACAAAAATGTTTTGCAGTTTTAAACTGAATTTTTGAATTGACTAAACTGAAGGAAGAAAGTGGACCCAAACTGACAGTGAAATTAAAACATAATGCTTTATCAAACACAAACACATACAGACAAATACAACACAACAGAATGAGAGCACTGGATGAAAGGCAGCGCTCTACTCATGATAGAGTTAATTTCATCTTAGAAAAAGATCGAGAGAACTAACTACTATAAAATAGGTCAGTTCTTTCAGAGTGTATTTGATAACCACATCAGTTAGTCAATCCATAAGTTGAAATAGGAAGCACACAGGTTCCATGTACTCCTGGACCTCTAAATGAACAACGTTACGAGAGAGCACACTAGTACAATACTAAAGACTTCTCCAACGACACTGTTTATAGGAAGGTTCATAGCCTTAAAGGGAAATGACCAATGACAATGTGTTCTTAGCACGAGAATGTGTCCGCGACATGTCGTAGCCTATCTAACTACACGTAAAATACAATGCAAACGCCGAATGTGTGCGTAAAAAATTCGAAACCTTTGGTGCACGAAATCTGCTTACCTTTCTAAACTAAAAGAGAAAACACATATGAATATTATTCTTTCAATTTTAGTTTTTGTTTCTCTTATCTTATTCCCCTTTTTGCTACTTTGTCCTTTTTCGCTATGTTCAAACTCCAATTCTCCATTTTTTTTGTAGTTCTTTATTACACTTCTATTTTTGCCGCTTCTATATTTTGTTGCCTTAGACAAATGCCTACTTCGTCTACCAGCTACGAAGTTTAATAACTTTTTGAAGAAAATAATTATGCTAATAAATTAGAAACATGTAAATCTAACAAATATATTTTCTGTTGATAAGGATATTGCAAATTTTAGTTATAGAGATAAAAGCCCAGTTGTAAAACTTTCTCTAATGTTGTACAGATTTGTAAAATGTTTCTCGGAAAAACAAAATCTCAGCAAAATTTAACTTATAGGCAATAACTAACAGCAATAAATCAAATATGCTCATATTTTGTTGACTAAAGTTTGAAGCGTACAAAGAGAAATATTTCAAGTAAATAGCTAGCTTCAGAGTATTGGAAATATAGATAACGCTAAAGTACTACAGAGGCTGAATACGTTATGTTAAAACGATTTTGAACAATATCACATCGTTACAGTGCATGTCATCACGTCCATTCACGCTCTATTTGAGGGCCGTCCATCTTGACAGTAGTTCTAAGCGTAGTTTCCATTGCAAAAGACTCTTTCCTAAGGCTTTCATGTTAAAAGCACACTACTACTCCCTGCTGCTTTCCATAATTTATATAGTGTATAAGGAAGACTGTTTCAATAGTCTGATCGCATAGAAATCAATGGCGATTTGAGTAATATGTTTCTATAAAATAGTATGGATATCTATTTTATTCTTCAATTGCTTGAGGTATGCGACAGTTGAACGAAAGGTATAACTGGAAGCCTTATCTTGGTAAGCACATACCCAGTTGGCCTTATTTCCAGTCGGAGATTTTTTATTATGTTTAGTATTGTTGCCTTTCCCACTGAAAGTTTCATGAATACTCTTCTTTTCCAAGACGCCACACTTTTCTTATCATGGCTGGAATACGACTTATTGCAGATCTCTTTCGGAATGATCTGGGTGTCTCAATTTGATCTATATTCCTTTGTTTCCAATGTGATGAAGAAAAAAGGATATTCTGCATTGGAAATTCTAAATACAGTATCTAAACTCATCTTTATGATCTATGTGTATGGCTATTCTGCGTGGAAAAGGGCTACGTACCCTTATCAAAGGTGATCAATTTTCGGTGGCATCACACAACCTACAATTGTCTAAACAATTTCTAAATATACTTCTTATGCATGCCATTCCACCACAAGTTTATTGCGACTGTGGTTGTTACATGACTCGCTGATTTGCATATTTAAAATCGTTTTAATATAACGCACCCAACCTTTTGTCGCACCCACCCCCGAGTGACATAGACTTATAACACTAAAAGGCGGATTTCGGTAATCGTGTTGGCAGATAGACAATTATGTAATTTTATACTTAACGAACAAACCATTTGTATCTTTTGAGACGAACATATTTTACCTGTTCATTTTAAATTATGTCAGCTCATTGACAATCAGGAGTAATGGTAGGCGAATCTTAGATAATATTAAGTAAGTTTTGAAGAACTGATGAAAAATATAAGCAACTAAATACTGGTTGAATGATATTCTAAACGTTTCTTAATCACTGAAAAGTTGTCGGTTTAATATATTTTTACAAAAAATCATTATTGGTTACAGCATTTTGTAGAATTCAAAATAAAAACATTTGTGTTTAAAAACTATAATTATATTAAGTTTTGAAAACTCTTACTATCATGTGATATTTATGTCATAAAAATAAGATAAATTTAAGCATAATTATATAATTTTATATCTTTCAATTCAGTCGTTTGTGTTTCATACTCTAAAATTTCCAAATTATTATGAACTGACTAACGAGTTGTGTGGAGCTTTTACTAAGTGTACGCGATGACGGGAAGAGGGTGTGAATTTCTGTAGTGTGAGAAATATATTAGAAATGCTTTCTTAGTTAATAATGACATTATATTGTTCTGTGCTTTGAGAATGATCTTTAAAACACTGCTGACTATTATTCATACGATAATAAGAATATTTGTAAGGTTAAAAGATAAATTTTTAAAGTTATATATAAATCTTGCAAATGTTGGGGATTTGTTGCTGAGATGGAAAGATCTACCCTCAGCACCAATGGATGTAGGCCTAACGTTAAGTTTCGGGAAACTACCAAAGCATTTAGGAATCATAATCAAAGAGGAGAATATTTCATATCGAGATTTAGCAAAGCTAATTGTGTGGTGCTTGACTTTGCGTATTCCTTACATTTCTGTATATGATTCTGAAGGTTAGTGAGCTCTGTTAATTCTTCCTAAATATAAAATGTATTTTAGTTTACCTGTGTAGGCCTAAAGTAAAGACTAAAGTTGTACATTTCACTTTCAGAGTTCGCTGATTAGAAGTTTATGAAATTTAAATTAAAGGAGTATTAATGTATTGTATATTATTAATCGGTTACACTGCTGTGATATGGGGTAAAATTTGAAAATAATGAAAATCTAAAAATTTGAATACTTTTGTTGGTGGTTGTGATTATTAATATTACTACTTCAGCAAGAGATTAGCAAAAGCATAACATTACATAATATTTGAGAGATAACAAGTGGCTTCTTGGTTCAAAATTGCATTCAACACCCATCTACCTATATCCAGCCCTGAGTTATTAAGTACTTATCAAGTTTTTTCCTAATCCTATTGCATCTACCACATCAGAAGGAAATCTATTCCAAAGACTGACTACCATATTACTATTATTAGAAAAATAAAATTGTGAAATTTGCAGACATCTTCTGCCCTACCACGTTTTAAATTTATGTTCCCTAGTCAACCACTCTTACTAATAAACATGAAAAAAAAAAGATGCTGCATTAATCTTATCCCATTTATAAATCTGTTTCTTAAGAAAAAAAAAAGTACCTTTACCTGTACTCGTTTGACAGCCCCTCCTAGTAGTAGCCTTCTTTTGAACCCTCACTAAAAGCCAAGTGCCTGAGTAAGGAGCCTAAGACTGAATACAATACTTCAAATGAGGCTTAGAGACATATTTACAAAATTCAACAATCTCATTTTACTTCTACATAATATTCTTGTTGATATAATGCAAAATTTTGTTTTCCCACTGGCAACCACTCTATCTGGAAGGTTTAAGAGATTGACTAAAACACTAAGATCCTTTTTTTCCATCGCACTTTTAAGTTATTCCTATCAAGGTAGTACTTACTACAGTTAGATTAACTTATTAAGGAATCCCACATGTTACCTTTCACTAAGTTTAATCAAATGATACTTCCCATTCTTTTGTGTTATTTGTCAAGTGATCCAAGTTACTCTGAAAAACAGCATCCTCCTCCTCTTCATAGCCATATACACACAAAAAACCTTAATTTCAGCAAACTTGACAAGTTTTTGACCATTCACCTATCAGTATCACTAATGTATATAAAAAGGATTAAGGGTTCCTGTACACAACCTTAACATATTTCACTTTTTAGTCCTACTAATTACTATAAACTAAACAAATAAGACACAAGGCATGTATATATTTTGAGCAAATATAATTGACTGTGTTGCAGTGAAATATTGTTACAGCAAGAAAACGTTTGAAATGACAATAAGAAAAGTTAACTCTACTAATGTTATTTGATATATACATAATAGTAAACTATTGGATAATGTGAAATATTAGCAAAAGACTCAACAGATTCTGTGACGAATAGGCCTAATCTTCATTGTAATGATTCATTTTGATGATTTCTGCAAATGAAATTACAATGTTGTGTGGCTGAGAATATATGTATTTGTGGTACTTTGGTCAGTTAGTTTTTACTTTGCAGTAATTAGTAGACCTTCACTTTCAACTCCAATCCAGTTCGACTGAACTCCATTTATTACAAACCTTTGCTTCCTCTAATCTAACCAATCCTTGGTCCTTTGAGCTAACACACAAAGCTAGTTTTCTTTGCTAATCTTTTATATGATGCTTTGTTGGAAGAATTACAAAAATCCTGGTACAATATACCAAGTCCACACCATTGCCCTCACAACATAAGAAGTTATATTTTCCAAAAAATCCAAAAGATTATCTTTAGCTGAAACCATTCTGGCTATCCAACAATTATGTAAATTTTGTTTGGCTGTGCAAAGTATATTTAATCAATTTGTCAAACTTTTACTCCCAATAATAGCACTATCTTAGTGAAAGTAACAAAACATTTGATAGCATAAGTGTAACAAACAAGGTTTTGATCTAAAAGGGAATAAAAAGAGTAATTGATTTTTATGTTTTTTCAATGAAACAGTTTAGATTATAAATGTAACAATTGATATACTTTTTGGTTCTTTAAACACATCTTAATTTCTGGACAAGAATCTTACTAACATTACACATAGTCTAACAATTAGACATTATTTTGTTTTTGAATTTTTTATAAAAGGTGTTGTGAAAAAAAAATGGCAAGAAGCTCTGTGATGAGACACTGCATTGGAAAAATGAAGTATTTTCAAAAGATTCCTCCAAATACAAAGTTTTATTCAACATTCCAGGAAAGGAACCTATGAAAATCAATAGTATGTGTCATCCATTTTAGTTTTTAATTTTAACATGTGTAGGTATTTTTACATAAGTGTCAGTAAGTTATGGTAATTACACAAAATGAACTGTTAAGTAGTGATTTAAAGTTGTGTTTAATGAAAGCTGAGGATGTAAATGTACAAGTTTTTTAATTTCGTGAATGTAACTAGTAAAGATATTTCTATCTGAGATCTTTAGTCATTATTTTTATAAATGATTATTCATAGAAACACGCACTGTGAAGTAAGGAATAAGAAAAAGCAAGCTGACAAAGTGCATTTGAAGAATGAAAGGAAGAGCAAAAGGACATAAACTGTTTAGCCCATCCTGTTTCCTCCCTTTTAACCACTCTAACCAGTAAACCAAAACTTTAGAAATAAACTTATGAAGTCTTTCATATCCATATACCCATTGAAAAGAAGTTTAAAATACATTAATAGCAACCAATTACATAGTTTATAAATTTCCACAGATAAATTATTTTGACAAAGAATAAGAATCTGGGCTTCCACAGGGTTAGTATTACTCTAGTATTGAAGTGTGCATTTCTACCCTTTCTTAAACAAATCACTTATAGGTTTGATAACACGAGCTCCAAATAGTCTGAGTCATTAGAATCATGCTACCTTTAGTTAATTGCTTCAGAATAAGCCTCTTTTTTAAACCATGTATAAATATGGTAGTCCTTTTCTGCACACTTTTTCAAGCATAACCATCCTTCCAATGTTCAAATGTACCAGTGACACTAAGCTGCTGGTGATACTCGAAGCTTTTCCTGGTTTTATTGAGTAGTCAGGTTGCTTAATACTGAAAAATGTAAAGTTGGATCCAAGGCTACAGAAACTTAAAAGAACTTGCTTGTTATGCAGGATTGAAGTATGTTTATTGAAATAAAGTGAAAATCTTTGACTCAGTGTTCAGTTGAAATTATCAGAAGTTGTCATGTATTGTTTTTTGTGTAGAAATTTATGGTTTTAAAGAAGTTACAAGATTCATGTCAATTTGTAGGAGACTAGTAAGATGTTTTTAGAGTAGTGTTTAATCTTGGCTTTCTTTTTATGGAAAATGGATGTAAAGAATGACTATCAATACAAATATGATACTTGCATTAAAGAAGTAGCTATGCAAAAAAAAAAAAGTTAAATATTTTTATTTCTACTTTTTGCTGGATTGTAGAACTAAAAGTGATGTGAAAAAATTTCTTAAATTGGTATGAAGTTTGGTATTTTTGATCAAAACAAAGTTTGTAATGATGTCTTGAATATTAAATTTATTAAGTATTAGATGTGGAAATCTAGACCTAAAATAACTTGATGTTTTTTTTTTCTTTTTTGAGATTGTTAATATTTATAATAGTTAGTTGGATGGTACAATGTATGCAGATAGTTTGTGCCGTTTGAAGCTTATGGAACAAGTATAGTAATATATGTTGCATTTATTTGGGTTGAAGTTTAAAAAATAAAGGGTCATCTCTGTTAAATATGGTAAAAGACAGTATTTTTGCATAAATGAAATAAACCAAAAAACACTACAATTAAAAGTGTACAATAATATATTAAAAACTGTAAAACTTGCATGTTTCAGCAGTACTACCCTACATTCATCAGAAGAAGACTTGGTGGTACTGCTGAAATATGTAGAATTGTCAAACAATCCTGGTGTTTTTGTTAATAAATTTAACTTGTAGTGTTTTTAGTGTATATAATTTCAGTTTTTCAATAACCTTCTGCCACCTTGCTCATTTTTATGACCATCCTAACAGTGTTAAAAAAAGGTGAAATCCATATTCCTTTTATATGAAACTGTTTAATCCATACAGATGTTAGTCCTTATTTATAATCTATTCTTACATGTGTCTTATTGATTGCAGACTTTTATATTCATGTTAGTACTAGCTTTTGTTATTTACCTACATGGGCTAACACATTGTAGTCAGTATTATAAAAATAAAAAAGAAGAGTATGAAGATATATGTTGTTAAAAACACCTGATATTTATTGATTTAACCAGTTATTCTGAAGTTAAACTCTAAATAATATGGCAAACTATATGCACAGGTGAAAGTTTTAATGATTTATTTAGGTTTAACAACAAATGGATACTCAACAATATTTGAAGCACAGGTGAATCTGCTCTCAAGAGAAAATGGTAAGAAAGAAATTATTTGTATAGCTAGGGAATTATCCAAGAAAATGAGCCAAGGATCTTTGCTTGCTTCAGACATAAGCCAGAAGACAATTAGTGCAGCTTTACAAGGTAAAAAATTATGAATTAAAAATTGTTATTTTAAGGTAGATATCTTGCTGCAATTTAAAATGACTTATTTCTATATATTAAAAACATTTGTTTTTCCAGCTTTTATGTTGCATGATTTTAAATATGTTATTGATTAAGGTGTTAGGAGCAAAGATTTGATTTATCAGGTGTCTGGATACTTGGGGCACCCAAAAATGGTACTTATCAATTTTTGGAGTGTAGTGATGCCTCCATATGTACAACTCAGATTCTGTTTGGCTGTTTTTTTAGTGTGAACAGTATTTAAGAGAAGAATATGTAAGCACAAATACATTACTGAAGATATTAATATTGTATCTTTTTCTGTATGATTTTTTTATTTTGTTAACTGACTTCAGATTCCTAAAGTCTCATTTGGAGACTGAAGAAGTTTAACAAGGAGTTGGTGGAAGTTTATTTTTCAAATGTTATTCAATGTAGAATAATTGGTGATGATTGGAAGATTGCTAGTGTGGTTTGTTAAATAAGTTCATGACTGTGTGGTAGGTAATATCAGTCAGTGAGAATAATGCTATGAAACTGCACTAAACACCTAAGTATGATTTATGGATCAGATCTTTCATTCAATATACCCACACTAATTGGGAGTATGTGTATTTATTTGTGTATCTAACCTACTGGACCTTATTAATTAACCACTTAAAGGGAACAATTTAACTTTTTTAAGTGTCACCCATGTAGATTCATCTGTTTTTTTTTGAGTGCCGAAAACATTAACACACAAAAGAAATATTGTAAGTATTTACAACAAATGTCCAACCTTATTATAGCCAGCTTCTTGTCTAGGGCTTTCCTTTGTGGTGAAAATAGCTGAAACCTAGAGCTTAGTAGGCTAACTTAGGTATAGATATGTCTTGATTTGGATCTAAGTGGTCATGAGTGTATGCCTTTATCAAATTAAGGCTATGTATCAATATGTTATGATTTATATCTGGGCCTAAATGTAATGCTTAGATTGTGTAAATCCGTAGAACTACACATAAACAGGAATCCACACTTGTGCTGTAGCAGTGATACTAAACATAAAGCATTATATAACTTAGGTCGCTAATACTGTTAATACCTTTATATATATAGGCCTTCTGATTTGCTTTATAATATGTACATTGTTTGAATGCTACAGTGTTAGATAGATATAGACCTAGATGCAGTATAAGGCAAGTAATAATTATATATATGTATTTCAGAATTGAGGGGAAAAAAAGCATTAATGTTTCATGAATATATAATTGATTACTACCATGATTACACCAACAAAGGCATCATGGCAGAACCACAGTAGAAATTAATGAAATATTTGTGAACCATACAGTTATGTTTTCCTCAATTATGTAATTATAGTTTTACCAAGTACAGATAGTTTCAAATATCAATTATATTAAATATGTATATATGCATCTAGCAACTTAGCTAGGTTGGAAAGCAGTGTGAATAAACTGTTGATTACTTACACTAATAAACAAAATATAAATACTGTTTCCATCTGTATAGGCTCCCACATGAGTTTAATAGTAAGCATGACAGCCTGGTTAACATGCCACTGGCCTGTAAATATATGTAGTGTACATATATTACTGATACATAATATTCACTTCTAAGAAATGCTAATAATAAAAAGAACTATAGGACACCAAGAGCCATTTGGTCCATGAAGGTCCTGACACTTCCCTCAATGAACAGAAAACCACTAGTTCCAGCTTCATTCTCCTAAATGTTTATCAACCCATTTCTTAAACTTCTGTGAAGTTGCAACCTCTATCACTTTAGATGACAGTTTGTTCTTCAGATTTACCATCTTTTTGGAGAAATAAACCTTTTCAACTGAGAGGTCAAAAATCTTATGACCTCTTGTTCTACTGCCCTCAGAATTCAACACGAGAAATCTGATTCAATTTATCAGTTCCCTTAACAATTTTGAATCTCTCACTTAGATCCTTCTTAGCCTGTATAATTGTAAAACAGAACAAGTTGCAAAATTGTAATCTATCCTCTTATGATAACATGTCCATACAGTAGCCTTTCTCTGGACCCTCTTCAACAATTTACTGTCCTTCCCAAGATAAGATACTCTAAGTGACATATACTTCAAGACTGATCTATGGGAAACTTTGTTAATCTGCAAATTACTTTAATGCAAACTTATTTATTTCACAGAATCTACCCTCAATTTGCAGTTATTATTAACATTAATTATTTGATATTTGTTTGTTTTCTTCAATTAGCCGTAGCACCAAACAGGTTTTTGGGGTGTGCACATCAAAAATTTTGTTGTTGTTGAGCTGCATGTTCAGGAAAACATTTTTAAATTTTGTATTATAGGTTTTATACTTTGCAGTTTTATTTTTAGTGGGTTGTACAAACTTTTAAGCTTAATACTGATATACATACAACCATTAGCAAGTAAATTTTTAGTATACAATTAAAATGATGCATTAGTTTGCTACTAGCAAGTGATGTACAACACACGAATGAGAATTGGTTGCCATTTCTATTGTCAAATTGGACATCCACCCAATTCCTTTAAATCTAGTAAGATACATGTTGGAGAGAATGGAGGTTGGTGGAGCCAGATACGAAGTGATGGTACTCGGAGATTGCACTGTCTGCTCTGATATCTACACTAAACTGAATTTATTACATATGGCTTCTTTGATATTTGTGTTTTATATTTAGTTTTGATGCTTTAGCTCTGCTTTTTTTCCTTAATTTGTGTGTGTGTATTTGTGCATATATATATATATATGAACTAAAATTGTTTTTTCCCCATCCTTAGTCCAAATCAATTATAATAATAATGGATTCCTGTCGTTTTATTTCACAAAACTTATCATTTATTTTTTTGGGAGTTATCGGGCATTTTTATTGATTGTTACATTTATGTTGCTGTTGTTAATTATGTATCATTTTTTATTTACTTTTAGTAGCAACATTGATCCTAAAATAGGCATGTCTCATTGCAAGTAACTGGATATAACTCCTATGCTGATTCAGCTGGTGTCATTTTTTTTTTTATTCCTTGTGTTTTGGATTTTCTACCTGCTGAAACTTAATATTTTGTTGTAATATAAGAGTAATACATATTTTTAGTATGGTTGTATTGTTGATACCTCTTTCTTAATGTAACAGTTTATATGAAGTTTTTCTTTTTAGATATACAAGTAATAAACATTTTGTAAATGTAAAATAATGTAAGGAAGGAAGTGCCAAAAAAGAATGCAAACAAGAATATAGGGATGATACAGCTATACATAGATCATCCCTACACGACTTTCAATATTAAAATATAATGTTACACTGTTCAATGCACAAGTACAAAATGGTTATGAGGTTGGCCAATTTGACCGGCTTCATAGCAAGAATCTTTAATAATCAAGACATGTTTTGATTCAACTTTGTTTTTCTTGTATCCAAGTCCTAGGCTCTTAGTTACATTACATTAATCCCTACCCTGACATATTAGGATAAACAAACTGCACTAATATTAAAGTGAAGTATGCATTTTACAGTGTAACATTAAATTTTTAATATTAAAAGTCATGTAGGAATAATTTATGTACAGCTGTATCATCCCTATATTCTTGTTTGCATTTCCCTCCCTACATCATTTTACATTTACAAAATGTTTTTTCCCCCTGACTATTTGATGAATGTGTGTACTGATTTTTTTTTACTCCTTCATGTTATGTATAATAAAGAAGTTGGCTTCCTAAATACATCAATTGTATAGTGTACAAAACATTGAGTATTCTACATGTTACAGTCATCTAATGTTCATCTATTATTGGCTGGTAATTCCTGTATTTAAACTCTTTTAAAGGAACACCAGATTTTTGGAAAAAAGTTAACTTCAAGGGATAATGATAGCATTGTTTACACTAGTTATTATGACTAAGTGATGACATCGTGCACTGCCCAGAAACACACAAGAGAAGACTTAGGTTTAAACTGACATTAGTGATAAAGTAGTTGTAGAGTTATCTAGACTGAAACAAGAAGAAAGATAAACAACTTAATGGGTTGATCACTTACTGGTTTGGTATCTTTGCGACAGTTTCTTGCCTTGTGGGGTAGAGAAACAAACAAAAGTGAGTGGCAATCATCTTTAGAATAAAACTGTCATTGTTAGTTTTTTTTTAGTGTGCATATTTGTATAATGCCTATTGAGTACCTTGGCCATCCCTATACATAGTCTAATGACTCTATGATACTTTCCATTACTTGGCATTTTTAACACACAATGCATTCCTTAGGATAGCCAAATTTCCTGATATATTGCTGATTTCTGTGGAATTTAAACACTGAAATAGGGCATTTAGTACTGAAATAGAACAGTGAAAAATATTTTCAGTGGTGTTTTTATTTTTTAGGCATAAATACTCAAATTTTATGATCGTTTGAAAATTGTAATTTCGGATACATTTTCCAGAAAAGTGCACCCTTTTCAAGGCTGTTTTTGTCTTTATTTTCATGATCTTCATGTTGACCTTCAAACAAGCATGGAATTCATTATGAAACACCTCCTTCAGCTGCTTGTCTTTCCTGCTCCTTTTTCTGTTTGATTTGGCTGATCTTGCATTTTATTTTCTTCTCATCAGGGAACTCTTCAATGGGGTTTGTCTCCTTTATCATTTCATATCTTTCCAGGACCACTGCATAGCATGCCTTTGATGCAGTGTTTTTATTTGCATCAAGAATATCATTGATATTTGAAAGCACATCTGGAAAATGTATACAAGTTGAAAGTTGGCCATTTGCTGCTCTTTTTTTTCTTTTGCAATGAAGGCACTGATTGCCATACGAATCTCGCTCTCAGATGGTAGATCCAATGCAGAGTGGTATTTCATTTTCAAGTTCTCAAGCTTGCGACCAGGACCATTTTTTTTATCACTTAAATTTCCATAACATCATCTATATAACGATGAATATACTTTTTTCCATAAGTTGTTCCTTGAGCAGGCCTTATTGCTCAACCTTTCTGAAAAGATTTGTAACATTTTTCAGGTTCAAGAACAAAATTACTAACCACATTACCCTCACTGATACGTTGAATAAATTCTTCGAAGATCCTCCATCCATCCAGTAGTCTCTTTGCCTTTAACACTGCAAATGTTATGGTATCATGTTGATCTGGTTGTCCTTTGCATTTATGACTTTCACAAAATGCCAGTGAGGAGAATTTCCTGTTGCAAACTGTGCAAATAGTATTATCAATGGGCACTGCAAGATCTGGAGTTTCTTTGTCATCCCCCCTTTTCTTCCATCAGAAAACATGGGCTATTGCACAAGCAAAATGAGCATTAATCAAACTTTTACAATCCTGTGTATCTGTATGGATATACCACACAATTTTCTTGGACTTGTTTTATTTAGTCATAATATTCCAACAATAAGCTTGTGCATTTGCATTATCACATTGGATAGTTACCTTTTTAATATGAGGAAAATCTTTATGCAGCTTCCAAAACTGAGAGTACACCAAAATAATCCTGCTTCGAATCCTTACTAGATATGTGATCATAATATATATATATATGTTTAAAGTCAGCCTGTTGCCTTTCCATTTGCATCATCTACATCTGGATTCACAGTAGGAAGCATTTGGACCAGTGTACCATGCCAACTCACTCCACGTTTTCCAAAATGCTCTATACTTTTTTCAGCATTGTTTGTTTTATCTTTGAAATTTCCACATGTTGATTGAGTATACAAATCAAATACCCCATGTACAACTTCATTTTGTTAAAAATATCATCATGTATATGATGATGATCTGTAAGAATTTTTTTCCTTCAAATTATCCATGAAAGCAAAGGGTATTTGACAAGTACAACAAGTTTTGTTTTGGTGAACACTACTTTTATTCAAAGCATGATTTATGCAATTGGAATCATGTTCCGAGCTATCACCACTACAGCATGCTGCTTCATTTTACAAGTTGATTCACAACCAGCATTTTGTTTCTGTACTCATCCTGTATATCTGGATCGATTTTATCAATGATAGAAACCAGACAATCAAATAAATCATTCACTAAAATCCCAGTTGCATAGTCCACAGCAGTCAAAACTTTCATATCGTTGAAAGTCAAAGCATTTATCAATTTGAAAAATGTTCTCCTACAAATTGTTCCACTAAAATGTTCACATGATCTGTACATCAATTCTGGAAACCTTTTCCAGGTGATTTTTGGCAGAGTGATCAATGCACTTCCGACTTCAACATTAGGTTCACCCCATGAAAGTAATTGCATATTTGATGGGGACAAGATGAACCTGACTGCAGCTGACATAACTGAAGTATCATATTTCACAAATGACCTTTTTACTTTTACCAAATCTTGCCCAAATGCCAACGTGCTGTAATGCTTCCACAGAGTTTGTACATCTTCCTTTCAAGAGGTTTCTCATCTGGCAGTGTGTCTTTGTACAAGGCCTCTACTTGTCTCAGTTGGAAATGATTACACAACAAAGCCATTAACACTTTTTTTTTGTATTGAACCTTCACCCAATGTCTTTTGCATTTTGCAAATGTCATGACAAAAGTTTAAGCTGGATATCATCTCCCTCTTACCAGTTAATTTTTGGTAATCAATCAGCACCATGTCCATTAGTTGATTTGGATCTGCTGGGAAAAACAGTTTTGCAAACACTACTGAAACATAGGAAACCATCTGCATGTAATATGAAATATCTTTTATTGATATTTCTTCACCAGGTGTTCTTTGTCAAATTTTGCTGCTTGAAAAATGGGAATAATATGAAGAATTAATAGAAATTGCTGTCCACAGCTTGCTCATTTTTTAATCTCATACATCTGTGGCTTGCATGAGCAAGTCTTGGTTCCCTCAATCACAGAATCTGGATGCTCAACATAATCCCATTGTGTTGCTAATCTTCTTGTTTTCTGTACCTTTGAACCAGACTGACGACCCATTTTGCATTTAATTTTCTTTTCTACACTTTTTGCCATCATGATTGCAGCCAGATTTGGAGCATTTTCCACATACTCCACACTTGGCACGTTTGCATTTGCATGTTAATGGTGCCATTTTGGCAATCTTTTACCCGAAACAAACGAATGGAAAATCCAAATCTTATCGGAATATTACAGAATATGGTAGAATTTAAGTAGGTTTAGGAAGACCCTGAATTTAGCTCCGTTACATTATGAGAGAATCAATGCAAAAAAGTTAAGCCAATTATCTTTTTTCCCAGCTTAAGTAGCCCTGTGGGACTGAGAAAAAATGTGTACCCTGGAGGTATGCATTACAGGTTAAAATGTCTTCTTTAATAGTATTTTAGGAATGATACATGTGCTGTAATTAGAAAATTTGTTTATTTGTTGTCATTAAAATGTTAATTTTTTTTTTAACTTAACTCAAAAAATACATAACTTGTTCAGATGTCACAATGATTCCTGGACTTTATTACTAAATATTATGAAATTGTTATCTTCAGTAATTTCCTGTGTACAAAGAAACATTGATAGATATAATGTTGACATACATACTTAATCACTAAGATAAACACTTTTTAATTTTTCTAAAATTATAAACAAGCTTACTAAGAAAGAGTTACAAACTCCCATATTTACTAAAAATTTGAAATTGACTTTTGTTACCAAGTTACATATATTTATGAACATTGTTTGTGATTTTTATAACATGGAATTAGATCTTTATTACTTTTAACTTGCAAGTTAAGTAATGAAAGATATTACTTGGAATTGGATTTTTTACAAAACTGTATTTCTTGAACTGATCGTTATAGCAACTAAGGGAATACCAGACCCTGAACTTGTGCTTTTATTTGGCCAAGCACAAAGCCTCTCTGGATTTATACCCTGGCAAGTTCGACTTACAGAAATAATGTAAGATAATTTTTGAAAACGTGTGGCTTATAGTTGTTGGGTTTCATTGATATTACTTGTACATCTAACTTTTTTTTTTCCTGGATCCATTATTTTTAATCATAATTGATTGTTTTTACTGTTTTGTTTAAAGACTTAAATCTTTTATTTTCTTCTTCTGATTCAGTGTTTGTTAATTGCATAAAAAATTTAATAACTCCAAAACGTTTGCATCAGAAACACTAATGTAAATTTTCTAAGGACTTCAAATCAAATTATTTTTAATTTCTACTCTAAACTATATGTGTACTGATTTTGTTTTTTTCATTATTTTCAGGTCGTTATCTTCACATCATAACTTGTACTTTAGAGAATTTCTGGACATCTTAGAGATGTACAGCTGTTGTGAACAACGTTTTGGGAAATAATTTTCTCACGTTTTATATTAAAGTCATATGTTGAAACCAGTAATTGTGAAAATTTTGTGATTATAAATCATGAGGACTGTTAATAACTTTGGACTGTGTCAGGTGAAACAGAAATCTATACAAGTAAACAATTTGTTTTCACATAATGGAGGGTTTCATGTTAGTCCTCAATAAATGATTTTCTTATGGACATAAGATTTATGTGAAATTGTCATTATCTTCCAACTACTATATTATTGGTAAGCTGTACTAGATTTACTAGCAATAAATATAAAAGGTTCATTGACACTTATTAATAGTTTTAGTTTAAATTGATTGCTGGACTTTTATCTTTAGTAAACATGTAATGACAGCTCAAGAGTAAACAGATATGTTCATTTCTGTAGAACTAACATTAAAGCTACAGTGTTTTAGAAGCATATCAATGCACGTTTTACACAATTGTTTTGATACATCTAGAACACACACCTACTGTAGATATATTATGAACAACATTTACATTACTAGAAATTCTGTAGGGCTCTTGAAAACAAACAAAAAAAAAACTGAAGCCCATAGCTTCAAGTAAATTGTTCCTATATAAAAAATGAAAGTAGAAACATATTTTGGAGGTCTAAATAAGGGGTTACGAACATAACTAACCCAGTAACATAACTAAGATCTATTTAAGAAAAACATCCACACGGTTAACATGCTTAAAGTATACTAAATCGGATGTTCATTGTCATGGTTAGTAGTGTAATTAGTTTCATTTATACTGTATACTAAGCACCCAGTAACAAAAAAAAGTAATCAAGCTTAAGTGATCATACAGGGTACTAACTGTGACAACCTTACTGTAAGTTAGCTAAAATTGATAACCATCCACCACAATTTAGTCAGATTACCTATCAACTATTCCCATATAAATAAATGTAAAAGACACAGAATAACATTAACAGGCTCTCTATCAATATGCACACACATGTACCAAGGAAATTCATGTGTTCTCAAAACAAGAAGCCTTTTAATATTATAAAACACACCCATACACAGTCATAAACTTAAGTGACTATTACAAGAACCAAAGGAAAGTGCAATAAGTAAATTCTACCCATGTTATAGCCATTTTCTCATTTGTAAAATGGCTTTGTAGTAGTATATCCCACTACTTCAAGGTAAAATTTGCTCTGGAGCTATTTTTGGGGGGAAAAAATCTACTTTATAGTATTTATGCAATGGGCAATGATCTGCATTAGTTTTCTAGGGGTGGAGGTGATTGTATCATGGATCGTGAAATAGTTTAGCTGTTCTCACATGGATAAAAACTGCATTCTTTAGAAACAAAACTGTTTGTTGAGGCAACACAAACCTCTATAAAGGAAAAATTCAAGACCACTTAACTTCTAACTGTAACTATTTCAGTGAGATGTGTGTATAGAATAAATAGCTTACAAACTATTAATTGTTAATAGGTGATTAAGTCAGCACTGTAAAACAATAATGAATTAAATATCGCAATACCGTTATTAGTCCTGGTTGTCAACTTATTGTCGTAATGGATAATGTCTGTGGTAATAGCACCCAAATGCTTTGAGGATATACCATTTATCAGACAAAATCCAACCGCTGATGCCAATCTAGTCAGCTGTGGAAGATAATAAAAAAATCAATCAAATAAGGGTAAGAAGCTGAGTGCTTACACCCACATTTCTCAGCTTCTACTGCTTTTCACTGTCTATATAACCAGTTGTGGGAAGGCAGTTACCCTTAAATTTCTTTATTTTTTTATGATTTTCCATGACTGCTGACTAGACTGACATCAGCATTTGGATTTTGTCTGATAGATGGGATATCCCCAGAGCATTTGGGTGCTATTACCGCAGACATTATCCATTATGACAACCAGGATCGATAACAGTATTGTGATATATATATATAGCCACTATCATGAACAAGGAAACATTGGATTAATCACAAAAAAAGACCATGAGAAGTTATCTTGAAAGCAGATGAGAGAGGCAAGCTATATTAAAAGCATTTCATGATGATGAACTTCATATAGAAAGAGTAAAAACTTGTTTCTCTACAGAACAAAAAAAGGATAAACTGTATGGGATTTCTAGCTGCTCTGAACAGGGAAGGGAATTTGTGAATTCAGTTTTGGACATTCTAAGACAGCAATAAGGAAAGGCACACATACTGTATATTGAGAAACATGTTTTGGATTAACAAATGCAGTGGGCTAAGCATCTTGATGTTACACCTTAGTATGAAGCAGTGTGCCACAAAATATATCCCTTTCAAAATTATCTTTGGTCATAAGGGCTTGTATGACCAGAAAGTAAAAGTGGACCACATAAACTTACAGAGCTTTGGTAAAGTGTTGGTGGAAACACTGTGGGAGTGGGAAAAACCCACCCCAGCTCCCCATGGGAAATATGGCTCTAATATGTTCATGAGGGGAAGGTGGTTCCAAGACACATTTTCTCGGGGTAGAGATACTGTAGAACACCCTCACTAGATAAGCTACAACCATACATAGTTTAAGAGAAGAATAATTTAAAATCAACGTAAAAAGAACTCTGAACTACCAATAAACCACCCTACATCTCCAAGGTCAACCCAAGATTCACTCCATTCCTCAGTTAACTGCAGGTTCGCCATGGCATTCCATAACTAGATATGTTGTACATAAAATATCACTATCAGTCAATAGAATATCCTCACATGTAAACAAACTTGTTCAACTTTGTAGAAATTCTAAAAATACAATGATGCACACCATTATATCCATTAACATACCAAACCCTGAAATAATACAAATGTTCCACAAATAGCTTAGAAATGATCATATTAGATCTTACTATCAACAATAAGAAGGCTTAGCCACAGGCTCACCTCCTATCACCAATACGTAGTAATCTCTACATGATACCCTCAAAACGACCATTCTAAAACTCTTATTTCATTCATATACATTGATGATTCATCATAATATAGCCACACAATACTAGAATTCATGAACCACCTGAACAGTCATCTAATGATATACTAACTGAAGAAGTAGAAACAAATTTTCATTCTTAAATGTAATGGTTACCAAGATATACAAAGGAAACCCACAGATAAGGATGTAAATATTTCAAACATTCAGAATGAACAAAATTTGTAGCACAGAAGATGCAAAAAGGAAAAAACAGCATTACAACCTTCCTTGAAAATGGAGGAAAATAATTACACACAAAAAAAATCATGGAAGAAAATACAGCCATATTCCTGTATGTCGACAAATATCTCTATGAAAATATGCAAATAGAATATAATCAGAACAGTATTCAGGAGCCACAAAACAACAGTATATACTAAACTATATAAAAAATCCAACAGACATCAGAAAATTTTATCCACAACATTTCTTGTGAATGTAGACTAAGACAAAAGTCAGAAACATACAAGACAAATACCAATCTTTCTAAAACAGAACATCATGTCAAGAAAGACCATAAAACAAGATGGACTAATATTATACCAATGGGATATAAATCCCATATGAGAAAAATACATCCACCTAAATGATAACGCTCTTCAAAAATATCCGACCTTTCAAAGAGTTGTTTGAAAACCCAATCAGTATGAACGAGTGGATAATACACCTGTCTTTTTAACAAGGAACTCAGGATTGAATCTTGGCTCTTGCCACCACATAATTCATCTCAGTCCTGAATATGGCAGCAGATTAAACTAATTATACTCAGGTGATTGTATAATCTACTAATCAAGACAACAACTAACAGTTAACATCTATAACTTTCCCACATTATTCAAGTTTTTCAAATTTATAATAATAAAACTTTCTATACAAACTGTATGACAGAAGTGATCATTTTAAGTATCTTTACTCATTGAAGTGTTACAAATGACTACTATTTTTTTAAGTTCAATTTCCAATGATTTGTTATAAGACAACATTTATTACGGAAAACAAAGAGCACAGTATTTTCAATAACTTGACTGTTATAATGGTTAAAAATACTGATCAGCATACACCAAATTTTCAATGAAAATTCAGATATCAAGAATTGTATTTCATTTTTCATGTGGAGAAGTTATAAAAAAAAAAAGGATAATTACATCAATTGTTACTAAAATGTACATTACATTAAATACATATGAAATTAGTATTTATAAAAAATTAAAACTTCAAGATAAAGAACAGGACAAATGAATATCTGCAGTTAAAGTAAATTAAGTGTAAATACATAAGGTAATAACATGGTGGTAGGGCGTAGGTGAGGGGACAATAACATGTTAATGAAATGTGAAATTACAAATTAAACTTCTTTTTACTGGTACCTAAGTAGATGACATGTAGCAAAGAACACCAATTATTTAAAAATATTAAGAAGTAGGAGGATCTTAGGCTTAAGATAGGTTAAGTCTTCAAACTTAACCACTTAGTTGTTGTAATATAAACTAGTTATCTTTACACCTAATGTGCAAAGATTAAAGTTTAAGAAATAATACTTCATTATATAGTGTTTTTTTTTATATAAATGTGAAGATATATCCAATTCCTATTCAAAACACATATTTAAATAGTTTTGCATGAAAAATTGGGCAAAACGAGTTTTGTTCCTGCTGGTTGGTTTTCATAATTACTTGTCACTCAATAAACTTTTTTGGAAAGAAAATACATAATCATTTCACACTTTTTTTTATATGTGCACACGCTAAGGCTTGTGATACAATAAAAAAAGAGCAATATAAAGGAGGCATTCTAAAAGCAACAATTTCCTTCACCACTGCCTAACACTTTTTGCTTCACTTCCAATAAAATATAAAGCTTTTGATACCATAAATTTAAGAATGACAATTTGGTCTATTTTGGCACAGAACTTATTATTTTGTAACATTATTCATTTAAAATATGCTATGTTTATTAAACTGTACAAAATGTAAAGTTTACTGCAAAACAAATAGTGGTTATAAAAAAGGGTGTTTATTGCAAATGTACACAAAAAAGAGAACGTGAAGAAAATGATAGAAAGGGACACTGGTCATTCAACATCACCATTCTGACTTATGCACTACGAACCAGGTTCTGAAAAGCAGCCAATGACGTCATCTTGGTGGCATTATTTACAGGAAATACTGCATTTATTCCTCAAAGTATTTCTTCTCTGTTGCATTTCTTCAAACTGAAAGATAACAGGATTCACTTTGATAAACATATTAATGGAGTAGGGGGGGGGAGAGAATCCTGAACCTTCACAATCACAAAACTCTTCTACATATTTTTTTTTACAAAATAATTTTATTTACATCTTATTCAAATTTTGTGAGTATACTGTATATTCTTACTTTTATAGTAGGCTTACAATGTACCCAACTATTACACTTTTTTTTTTTCAGAAAAACTCTATTACAAGTTTTAGTTTCAAGATGTAAATAAAGAGTAATGAATGTGTAAGATCATTAGGATGAATATGGTCTGACAGAGTCAATAAGTAAGTTATACCTGAAAATTGTTTCCACAATTTCAATTTATATGTATTTGTTGTGGTTAAAAACACAACACACACAAACCCTTCCCAGTGGAGCCTATAACACTGTAGAAAAATGGATTCTACAGTTTATAAAGAACTCAATCCTCCCCATCTTTACAAAAGAAAGTAACACAGAAGAGAGACAACACAAAATAGCAAAGTTTGACATTTTTAAATAAACAGGTATCAAACTGGTCACAATTAGAATGAAAATCCTGAAAAAATTTAGATACAAAGTTTAGAGCACTACAAAGATACAGTTTGGTTAGTTTTCCATCAAAAAACCATTAAGCAATTTCAATATTCTTTAACAAGACCTTAATTTAACCTACTAGCCAAAATCTGCAAGTTAATTTGATATTTACTGACAAAAAAATCAGCCAATTACCCCCCCCCCCATATCATACAATTCCTCCATTGACTTCTTGCATTTGTGTACTGGACTGTAAACTCCCCAGTACTGTGTTGGACCTAGGCCTGATGGGTTAGTGATTTAACAAGAAATATATAAATAAAACAATAATAATGTTCAGTATGTTGAGCACCACTATAGGTTTCTTTCCAATATTCAGGCAATGCTATAAAAGTCTTTCTGTACTAACCGTCCCCAATTTTGAGCCAATATACTAGAGGAAAGTCAAGCTAGTCAGCAGCACCAACTGCCAACTATTGAACTACTCTATTTGAATAGTAGAACTTTTCTGTCACTCTTATCATGACCCCAAAGTACAGAGTGCAATTCTGAGGCAATGAGACACAAATCATTACCAATGGATTCACAGTCTAGCATACTAATCATTAGGCTATGCTTGGCCAATACTATCACTGGAATAACCTTAACTGTTAATTTCTCTTTCTTGCCTTTAAATCTACTCTAACAACTCATATTCACCCAAATGCAAAACAGTGAACTTCCTAATGAAATTTAAACAGTAACTTATAGATAAAAGCTCTTCAGTTGTATTGGATCCTGACAATGAACTTTGATAAAGTTTTACAGAAGAGGCTGTCACGTGTTGTAGACACAACTTTAGCTTTTGAAATTCTTTTAATTGAAATGCTAAAGTTTGCCACTTTTTTTTTGTAGTTGAATCTGATCAATCAGTTGTATGGCCAATACTGAACACTGGTTAATGGGTACTTTCCCAATTGCCACAAAATTTACTGATCTGTAAACATAAAAGTCTCTATTCTTTCTTGAGATACTAATTTTCAACAGAAAGGTGTGCACCTTAAATAATTTATGAAAATAGTATGTCACTTGCAATGCCTGTAGGTGAAAAATCTTACTTCTAAATAAAGACCGGAAAGGTGTCATTATTTTTCAGGTATCAAATTTATCACAAAGAAAATGGCTGTATAGGAATTTAATTTTTTAAGATCTGTTGCTCCTACAATTTACAAAACATTTTACAGTTAAATGAAAAAATTGTGTTATAAGTTTATACACATTTCTAGTCAGTAGAAAGCCTACTGTTCCACCAATATCTCAAATATATACTCCAGTGCTTGTTCTTTTACAGAAACACAAAGCTTTTAAAATATTTTCATTCAATTATTTTTGTTATAACAATATCTCCACACCATCTTTGAAAACATTTGAACAGTTAAGTAGCTATATATATTTACGACAGTAAAGAATGGACAAAACACACATAACCAGAATGATTTTACTCACTTGAATGTTTGTGCTAAACAAAGTTGCACGTATTAGTACTTTCTTTCGAATGAAATCATTTGAATATTAATTTAAATCTTCAAAAAACAATTAAGCAATATTTTGACAGAGAAAGTCAAATTAAAAAATGGAGGTCTATTTTGTTACTACTTTTGTTTGACTAAAAGCACCTTTTACAAAGGTACAATACCCTACAACCCTACAGGGCATTGTATTTTTGTGTTAACTTGATTTTTTTGAATCTGCATGTTTTTTTAACATTATGAAAGCATGTTTTCAAAGGTGTTTTTTAAAGATTATAAAAAGTGTAAGCTATACCAAATGATTTGAATTATAAAAGCCAATTATCACACAGTCCAGTTTTTGTTGAATAACATAGACAAAAACATATCAAAATATTTAATATACATGTTATAATACTTGACCTACTGTGTCAATCATTTCAAATTGCACTTTACAAAAATGGGTATTGCACAGTTAGTAAGATCACCCCCAGTTTATACAACATTCCAAAAATACTACCTGCTTTTGATCGTATAACTGGTAACGAATCTGTGTGCAGAACTTTTTCTTTAACAAACATAGGCTATGAAGTTATATAAGATACCTTTTATTATATTAAACTGTATGTTATTTAATATATTACTAGTCTTTTTTAAAAAACTAGTGTGTATATGTGCACTGAGTTCACAGTTTAACTGGTTGTATTCATACTCTTGTTTTTTGAACAATGATATATTCTAGCTTTATTAACTCTCAAAGCCCATGTGCATTGAATCAATATAACTTTTGTATGGTTTGTTTTACTGCATAGCAGAAAAAACTACTGGATGAAATAGTTTTAAATTTTAGATTAAACTTTTTTAGGTAGCTTCTGTAAATACAATATTTAATTTTTATATGTGATATTTGTAGGAATTCTCAACATTGAAAATTTTAAAATATTTCAGTGTGATATGTTTTAAGAAACAACTAAAAATGCTTACTTTTGTTGTAGATATTAATTTCTGAATTGTATGTGTTTCTACATTCTTCTAAATTTTTCCTATAAAGTTTTTATTTTATAAAACCATAAAATATATTTTTGATTTGAAAAATAGAAAATGTATTTTGACTTTTGTTATGATCACTGGTGTATAATAATATTTTTTTTACCATACTAAGATTATCAACAAGCCAACTATTTTTTTAAAATTGTTAATTACAAGGTTTCATTTAATAAATGTAATAAGTTTTAAAACTATTTTATATTAATTTATATGTACATATATTTTAAGTTCTTTGCCCATTCAAGCAATTCCTTATACTAATAGGTATATGTAAACATGTTCTCAAAACTGCCTTGTTGATGACAAATAACTTAACATGGTCATGTGCAAAATGATTTAACTAAGACTACCTAATCTTCAAACATATTGTTGGTTTGAACTTATTTTATAGTCACTATGAGGAAAACCTATACACTGGGATGAGTAAAGTGAAGAAAAAGTGTCATTGGCCACTATTCAGTTCTTCACATTATATAGCCACATGATAACAGATATAATAAATAAACTCGAAGACTAAGTTCAAGGAAGGTCCAGTTTAATCTACACTTTGATCAACACGTGTTATTGGGTTATACTAGTTACGGAGAATTCCACTTGTGTTCAGGCTTATTGATAAGGAGTGGAATTCTTTTAAACTAGTATTACCCAATAACACACTTTGATCAAAGTGTAGATTGAACTGGACCTCCCTTGAACTTAGACTACGATATTAAACAATTTTTGGAATACTAAGTTTATTTATTATAACTCATCTTGTTCCATGAAAAACATTTATTTTCCTATCACACTGTAACATTATAATTCAAACAAAGTATAAAATGATAATGCAAGCTATTTAAAAAAAGATAAAAATCAGGACTTCAATTTTGGTGGAAATGTTTCACAAAAATCTTTATTTACAGTAACATATCACTAAACTAAGCTTGTTTCACTTTGTTATGATATCTATGTGAAGCTCCACTGAATTGGAAACCACAATGGTTTATAAAGTTGAAAGGAACATACAAAAAGAGCTTTCATAATGCATTTAGATCAGTAGCATAAGGTTTCTCAATGTTGAGATACAGGAAATTACATCCTACAATGAAAAGCATGGTAGTGGATCAGTGATTAGCTAAAATTAATGACACTACACTTGTAATGAAGTTACAAGGTCTAATTAACACATTTTTATCCAAAACTCATGGTTCATACTGAATTGCTCAGATCAATTTCAAGCACTTTTCAAGGACCTTCTAAGCATTCTCAGGATATTTTTCAATCACTTTCTGGAAGCTAAAAATCCACATGAAAATCAGTTGGATTCCAATGAAATTTTTATAAAATTCCTACTTATTTGTCCAACATGTGAATGTGGACTAAAAAGAAAAGAAATACTTTTTATTGCACTCAATTCCACAACATGCATTAAATATATATACTGCTATTATAATATTTTCAAGTACTTTTGCAAAACAAGGCCCCTTTTTAAGCACTTTCAAGCCCTTGAAATTCCATTCTCAATTTCAAGGATGCATATGCACCCTGAAAACTATACTGAATGACTTCCTAAGGGGCTATTAGCACCATATTATGCCCAGAACAATTTTTAGAAAGTTCACAAACATTAGTGTTTTTGTTGGGAGCATGCTGAAACCAATCAAATATCAAAATTTGTGATTTAAAATATCTATTATGTATAAAAGTAAATAAAACATGTTTTTGAATACATTTTAACTTTTAAGGTTCTTTGCTTTTTATTAAAGTATAGAAGAACAAGTACAATATTATTTTCTATAATTTTGTTTTAAATCAGTGGAGCAAGTTTGCTCTTGAGGCAGGGCAGGATGCACACATCCAGGCATGATAGCAGTTGATATCTTAAACATTTAAGGTTAATTAAAACTACCTTCTACCATTTAAACATTTCCCAATATCATAAGTGAAAATCCATTACATTTAGAATAAATCCTCACAATAAAAAAAAAAGAGAGCTTGAACACCACTAATGTTATAGCTTGGTATTTTCGATGATGAGGAACCCACTTTGAGACTAATAATGGTTGGAGACGGCCTTTATTGGTGATTTAAAAAAAAATTTATTATAATTTTATATTAATAATAATATTATCTGTTAAT